AAGGGTCTCACAAACTGTTCTTTCTGAATTTTTGTATTTCTGAAGAACTCGTGATTCTCTTAGAGGAAAGACTAAAATACATAGTGAAGGTGAGAGACAAAAATGAAGACAGTTGAAGAAAGATCGAGAAGAGAAAACAAAGAATGCAAGGTGATGGGTGAGGATGTAAAGACCAGTGCAGACTGAGCAGGTGCGTTACAAAAGTAGGACCCAGAGCAGCTGTGCAGTTCAGGAAGACAGGAGATGCTGGTCAAAGTGTTCAAATTTCAGTTAGACAGAGGAAAAATTCCAAGGGACCTACTGCACAGCATAGTGAATAAATTAGTAACAATGTGCTACATTCTTCAAAATAACTAAGAGTGTATTTGTGCTCTCACCACGAATATAAGTAAATGAAATAATGCATATGTAAATTCACATGATTTAGCAACTACAGGTTTGCAGACATCATGTCGAGCAGGAAAAGTGCATGCACTTGGGAGGCAGAGGCAGGTGGATCTCTGTGAGTTCAAGGCCAGCATGTTTGCAGACATCATGTCAAGCAGGAAAAGTGCATGCACTTGGGAGGCAGAGGCAGGTGGATCTCTGTAAGTTCAAGGCCAGCCTAAAGTAAGAGAAAAAGATTTTGAAATAATGAGAGGCAGAAGTATAATTAAATACGAGAATCTAAAGAAAATAAGTTGCGGAAAAATAGTAAAAAATAATTTTGAGAGAACAAAGACAGCATGCAGATATTAAGTCACAGGACAGAAATGTGGACAGGATAGAAGGAGAAATGAAAGAAAGTAAGAGAAAAAGATTTTGAAATAATGAGAGGCAGAAGTAGAATTAAATATGAGAATCTAAAGAAAATAAGTAGCGGAAAAATAGTAAAAAATAATTTTGAGAGAACAAAGACAGCATGTGGATATTAAGTCACAGGACAGAAATGTGGACAGGATAGAAGGAGAAATGAAAGGAGGGAGAAGTCCTGGGAAGGTGGGTTTGAAAGCAAAGTGAAGGAAGGCATGAGAAGTGGGGCAAGGTAGGTGTAACGGGGAGCGCTCTCAAATAGGGGAAA